GGTAGGGGTGGGGGTAAAAAAATAAAAATTGAAATTAGAAATATCTTTTAAAAATAACTTTTAATATTTTTTTGGATGGGGTGGTGGTAGGGAGCTGGGTGTAAGTGTGAGGGTGGGGTAAAAAAATTGAAGTTAAATACATTTTTCAAAAACAAGCTTTAAATTATTTTTTTGGGGAGGGGGGGGGGGGGCTGGTTTAAGATTAGGGACAAAATAAATTGATTTTTTCAACCAAAAGAAATTGTAATTTGAAGTTGGAAGAAAGTTTTGGAAACCTTAGGTTTTGAAGGGAAGTCATTTTCCTTAAATTTGAGGAAAATGAGTTGATTTGGAAAACATTTAACCCAACCAAACATGAGAAAATTGGAAAACATTTTTCGGAAAATGTTTTCCTTCAAACCAAACACACCCCTAGTGTGTGCTATTAATGGTGTGTTTTTAATTATATTTACTTCATCACGAAAAAAGGTAATCATGTGTATTAAAATAAGATCGAAGTACATTCTATTCAATAAATGAATAAACAAATAAATAAATGAATTAGATCTGAAATTCGTCAAAATTTCTTTTTGATAATCCATAGTTGTTTTGGGGACAAAATTATTCATCACAAACTTGCAAGGATTATGATATTTCAAAAGAAATTAGTTTTCTCAAGTTAAATCATAAAAAAATAATAGAATAATCAATCAAATCTTGATTCAAGCAAGTTATATATATAAAATACAAGAATTCATAATGATCATGTATAATGGTGAAGAATTGAAAATTTGATATTTGTTACATTAAAGCTAGCTCTTCTAGGATATAATCATGCCCTAATACGAACACGAAATCAAAAAAAAAAATCTTCTAGTAATTTGTTGTCCTCCTCCAATTAGTTCCCTCATTCTTTGAGACTAACACTGGTTGGTACCTAACCAAATTCATTGACAATGGTGTTGACACTTTAAGAATCTTGTCTTGTAACATGTTACGGCGGTCCACGGCAGCACTACTCGCAGGATTTTCAAGAACACCGCCACGCACCGCTGCCTCGGTCACCGCAACATCATCAGTAGAAATCTTTTGTGGCCTTGGATAGTAGAAATCAGTAGGAAAAAAGTAATATTGAAGCCCTGCCATTAATATTAAAAACTTTGCTGTAAAATTTCTTTGAGTGATTTTGTATGTTATATATTATTTTTGGCTTTTTTGTTGTGTATTTTATAGATAGAGGAAAAATATTTGGAAATCCTAAAAGGAAAAAAAACAAAAGATTTGACTATGCCTTGTTCATCAAGTAGTTCCCTTATTCAATTCATGTGTACCAACATGATTTCTAGAAAAGAAAAAAAAAGTTGTATAAAAGGAAAGTGACTTGACAAGTGGAAAATAAAAAATATCTTGAGAGTTGGGACTAGAAGGAGTAGTATAATATACCCTTACCAATTTATTTTTTGACAAAAAAATTGTAGTAATATACTTTCACAAAATAATTTTGCGTACTATTTCACATTTATATGTCATTATTGATATTTGAGAAGTTAAATAAAATATACACTCCTTCAATTTCAATTTATTTGTTTGAATTTGACTTGATAAGCCTTGGTCGTAAACTAAAGATATGTAAAATTTATTAGAATGACCTTTAATTTTGTGATTTTAAATATGTTTGTCTTTCTACATGACCTTTAAGTAAAGAGACTTTTCTTAAAGGACTAAAATAGAGAGTACGACAAACAAATTGAAATAAAGAAATAATATATTTTAGTTATAAATAACTCTTATTGTTATTTATTATGGCTGTTTATTATTGATTGAACCTCCTCTTCTTCTTTGTTTTTTTTTTGCTAGGATTTGACTTCTAATTATGTATATTGCTTATTAATATTTTTATAATTGATTTCTAAGATAAAGTTTCATTTATACATGTGATACTTTTTTTTAGTTTGTCAAAAAAATGATATCTTCTCTTTTTTAAAAGTAGTAAATCATGACATCCCATTTTATCCTTAATATCATGACCTATTGGGACTCATGTGGTATAAAATAAAAAGACACATGTAACTCTAGCAATTTAATTTTTTTTTAATAACCAAAAAAATGAAAAGATACGTGGAACTCTCACCATTATTCAAGTGCTATAATTTTTGGTATTTTGCATATATTTGGCTTACATGTCTGAAAGTTTGTCAATTTCTTAAATTTTGTGCTCCTTCACATGAGTAGGGATGGAGGGTTTACATGGTTTCATGCACATTTTCATTTGTGTATTATTGTTGAGGTCTATCATGTAGAGGTACTCAAGTTTATGTGTGGTCTTTTCGGGTCGCCTCAAGGGTCTTGCAGGATCATTGGCAAGTAGTGATCATGATTCTTTAGGTGCATTTGCCGAGTAATTTTTTACAAGAAACAATGATATCTCTAATTATAACTCCCTTTGGAATGTAAAATATATCTCCTACCACCGTCTCCATAGAGTATGAGACAAATATATGCATTTCGCTTAATTAGGCTCAACATATTCTATGGTAATGGTTCTACAATATATATGGTCTATGGAGGCTCATTTTTTGTGTGGTTCATGAGGTGTGTCAGCTTTATCTGATCAAGGTTCGGAGCACAAAGGTCCTAGTACTTTCCAAGTGCAAGGAACCACAGAGGTGACTGCATGCAAAGAGCATAAGTCTCACTCACGAGTCTAAACAATGAGAAAATACTCGAACGTGAGAGAAAGGGATCACCGAACAAATGAACAAATTAATGGGTGAACACAAAGATAAGTGTTTATCAGTCAACATATACCACCATTACTTCTATCTCAATGGATTACTGTTGTCTATTGAACTTAATATTGTGTATCATTTGATTGTTTTCCAGTATGGAATAATCATATATGTATAATGTAAGAATATTATAGTGACATGAAAATATGCTATTTAAATACATACATGATCATTCTCAGAGCTTATCATATAATTATCACAATAGCATGTAGAATACACTCTGTAGCAGAAAGTATAATAGAGCCCATCTACTTTTGTACAAAATCTCATATGCACCCTTACATCAAGTTGCTAATCTACCAAGCGCTGCTCAAAAACAAAGCAATGAAAGCTAGTGCAAATACACCACGAGTCGACGACCATCCACACGATCAACTTTCTGAAATTGCCTCTGTATAACCTGCATATTAGTCACCAGAAATGAGATATCCTCTTATAGTGAGTTAAATCAATAAGCATTCTCAAAATTTGTCGTTCATCATTCTCTCTTTCGACGTTTAGTGACTGGGTAGTTGTTCTTTGTAGCCTCACTATGTTAGCTAAAGCATTAAGAACTGCATAAATTGGCCTACACATCTGTTAACTCTAAAGAGTTACCTATGAGTTCCCTTTTTTCATTTAGTAAATATTTTCTATAGGTTCATTCGTCTAAATAACTGAATTCGAACGAATGTAGGAATGTTTGCTCACCTTCATAATTCTTACAAGTAGTCAAAGAATTTGCCACCAATCTGACTTGGTTGAATTCATACTTCTGGGAGAGGAACAACTGCTTCGAATGCTTCCACAAGCATTGCCACTCTTTTTTTCCTAGCAGGTGTTAGCGTGGTAACTATATGCTGCATTGCATAATCAAGCATCCATTTTTCTGCTTTTTTCCTCTCATCAGTCATTTGATGCCTCAAATCCACTTTTTCTGGTTCTTGATCAGGTGTTAGGGGCAGAAATTGAGGCGCTCGTGGGTTGAATTTCCTCGCTTTTTCAAGTGCCTTGATTGATCTCTTGAGGAGGATCAACTTCTTCAGCTTGCTCCAGTTCTTGGACTTTTGTGTCTCAGGTTTGTTCTTGGCTAGTGGAAGTGCTCTCTCTTCTTTTGGATCCTTCATTTCTTGATCCAACATTTTTTCACCTTCAGTCATGTCAAGATTTGTCAAGCTTTCTGTAGAATTTGAATGATTATTCGCTTCACCTTCAGCTTCTGAGAGTTCCTGGTCCGGGATTATGTCACTGGTGACTGACTGTGTATCTGATGAATCATCTTGAATTGGCGTTGTAAGGATCTCGTTAACTGCCTCTCGTATGAGTTTGACAGCATCGTCTCTGCAGAAACTTCTCCCGTGGTGGCTTGGATTATGATCTTCCCTGTTTGACTCTGCATCATCCTTTGTCTCAGAGAAATCCTCGAGAGAGTTGCACATTTTCCTTTCAGATGGTGTACTACTGCTGTCTTCTACCTCATCATCAGTTCCATCAAGTAGTTCATTTCCAACTTTTGATGCAACATCTGATAGCACATGTTGTGATATCATGTGCCACATGCTGATGTAACTCCGTTTGTCCGCCTGCCCCTTGGATGCTCCATCATCTTCTTTGGTATCAGACATTGATAGTAAGAGAGAAAATCCACGAAGAGGTTTACGTGTTTTCTCACATTCTTTTGCTGTCTCTTCCCTAGTTACAGTTTCTTGCATTGTTGCATCAGATGCTGAAGTTGAACTCTGGATGCTCATTGCAGTTAGTGAATTTTGGTCGCCATCTGCAATTGAGCTCTGCGTTGTATTAGATGTTTCACCAGTAACGCTGTCATGATTCTCAAGCTCCAACTTCCTGTCTCTCACATCTGACCCCACATCTTCTCGTGCTCCATCAACTGCATCAGAGGTTTCTTTCATAGAATCATTTGAACTATCTTCCTCATCTTCTTTCCGAGCTTTTCCTTCCACCAAATCCTCATCATTCAAAGCGCTTGTCACTTCATCCGACTTCTGCCTAAGTACAGACTGTCGAACATCATGATCTTTGTACATAGAGCAGTCATTTTCTTCAAGCTTTCTGTCTATGCCTGCAATAACTTTCTCTGCCTTACGCCCCGTATTGCCTGCTGTAGACATGAATTCATTCTCTTTTCTAGCTCTGGGCTTAGAAAATGCAATCTGGCTATTGTCGCCTTGTGGTGGAACCACAGTTTCAAACGCTTTTATAAGAAGTTCCACTTTCCTTTGCTGAGTTGGAGCAAGTTGACTTATCGCCTGCTGAAGCGCGTAGTCAAGCATCCATTCCTCTCCTCTTTTCCTCTCATCAGCTGTTTGAGTTCTTAAATTCACCTTTTCTGCTCCAGGATCAGGATTCAACTGCAAATACCGCGGTTTCCTTGGATTGATCTTTCTAACCTTCTCCAATTCCTTGACGAATCGTTGGAGAAGTATCCATTTTTTAAGATTGCTCCAGTGTTTTGGTGCTCTCTTCTCGGATTTGTTTTTCACTACTTTTGGTGTTATCTCCTTCTTCGAGCCGCCAACATCTTCTGTCTTCACAGTTTTTGACATGGATCCTGCATCTGCCTCCTCATTCTTGCTGTCTGAAAAATTCAGAAACAATTCTTAAAGTGAATAAATACACACATTCTTAATAAACAAATGAAAGACAAATAGTGGTACTAATTCCTTACCTTGGATTTGATTCATTTCAAAGGATTCTTGGTCTACACTGGACTCACTTGTAACTGATTGGCTATCAGATTGAACTTCTGGAAGAAGAATCTTCTCGATTGCTTCTCGTACGAGTTTGATGGTGAAAAGCTTCCTCAATTCGATTTCTTGACTTTCTGCATCCTCATTTGCAGGTATCATTTCTCTTTCAGCAAAATCTGAATATGAGTCAGAACTTCCTGCCGAAGGCAATTTGTTAGCACCATCCTGTTGATTTTCTTCGTCGTTAGCACCACTGGCTGGTTTGGTCTCAGGTTCAGCAGATGAGTCCGAGACCATATGCCTACGAATCAGACTCCACATGTTCATGTACTTCTTTTTGGGTCTGACAACTTCAGCTGGAGGACAATTCTGGGATTTTGAATCACCAACTGGACCTGATGTGCTATCAAGGTCCTCGTTCGGATCAGCTTTACCATCCTTCTCCTGCATATTGCTAGCTGAAACAGAAGAGATTTCATTGCTACATTTTGCTCCATAAAAAATATCAAACACCGGTCTCGTTGTGATGGTGAATGGTCCATCTTTAGACGGTTCTCTGTTGTTAGTTTCATTGTTATCAGATTTAGCAGCTGATTCTGTAACATTGCTATATTTTGCTCCATTAAAAAGATCAAACACCGATCTCGTTGTCATGGTAAATGGCACATCTTTAGACAGTTCTCGTTTACTACTTTCATCCCCATTAGATGTAGAGACACCATCATCTTGCTTTAGGAGATGTGAACGATCCCTTTCCTGCACGAGACTGAATGCAGCTGATTCTGTAACACTGTCATCTTTTGAGTCACTCCGCCCTCGTGCCATACAATTGCAACACTCTGAAGCAGTAAGTCGGCTGTCCTTCTCTAGTGCAGAGTGTTTGCTCATTATGTTGAGTGTCTCCTTGTAACTTTGCTCCGGAAATGATGTTTCACCAAAGTCAATTTCAGCATATGCAATAGCCTCGTTTACATCGAAAACACCAGCATCTTCTGTTCCACTGCTTTGTTGTTCACCAAAGTCAATCTCAACAAGATCAGCATGTTCAATAGCCTCGTTTACATCGAAACCACCAGCATCTTCTGCAGCACTGCTTTGTCCACAAACTGAAGGATCAACACTGGAGCTCAATTGAGTATTTTCATCAGCAGTACTAAACTCTCTTTTTGCTCTAATGCTCTTTTGTGATTTCAACAATCTTTTCCTCCTATATACGCGTTTCACGGGGGGTGAAGGATCATCATAGTGTCCTCCATGGAGAGAACAATGATGATATGAACAAACTTTGAACTTAGACAACCTATCAGTTTCAGTTTTTCCAGGATGAAACTCAACATGCTCCTTAAACTTAGAATCCTTAATAGTCGAAGAACACGTCGCCTTATCAGGAATTTGACAGCATTTTGAGCTACCCTTTTTAGATTTAAAACTAGCTTTGTTTATCAAAATCTTCACACTTCTCATACTAGTTGTTCTTGATAGAGTCTGCGAATATTTTCGCGGACTCCTACTTTGATCACTACTATCAAAGCTAGATTCACAACTATGATGTAAACCATTTTTACCTTGAGAACAACAAGTTGATTTTCTGTAATGTGGTGATGGTGATGGTGATGGTGATGATGATAATTCTGAAAACTCAACTGAAGATGGATTTTGAGTATTATGATTCTTCATTGTTGTTATTGATCTTGATGACCTTCTTCTAAATGACCTTGTACTACCAAAATTCTTCATTATTTTTTTCATTACTGATCTGTTCTTGATTTTGTCATCCTTTTTTGGTGTACAAAATTCAGATGAATCAATTGAATTTACATCTACTGATCCAATACCTCTCTGAAACACAAAAGGGGTGTCACAAAAATGAGAAAATTTCTAATAAAATTTCATAATATAAAGTCTTTGTCAACACATTTTTTTATTCATCATAGTGATAGACTACTACAATTAAGACTTGGTCAGCAGTAGTACTGTTTTAAGCAAAAATCAAGAATCAAGAAACTTAATTTACCTGAGAATTACTTCCTTTCTTTGCATCATAGCTAGTTGTAATCTTCATATAATTTGGTGATAAATCTGGCATTTTGATTGGACTTAGTTGCTCTGGGGTTGAGTTATTACTTGTTGGAACAATGGATAGACAAGAAAACTTGGATTTTTTTGAGCAATTTGAGGATGTTTTTTTCAAGAAAGACAGTCTTGGAAATCTAATAGATCTTAGCTTGTTTGGTTTCTTGTTGGAGTTTAATGTTTGTGGTGATGTTAATTCAACTACCATTACACCCCTTTTCAAGATTTCACATTTGGGGTTGTAAAAAGGTAAATTTTTTCTCTTTAAAGAATTTGAGATTTGAGAATTTTTTCTTATATATTATATGACATGAGTAGATTCCAATTTTTGGATTATAATAATTCAATGGTCAAAGTAAATTTTGGAGATGGGGATTCAAATTTCAGTACAAACAAAAGTAATTGTGATTTTTCCTATCTGTTGAAGTTTTGGTGGCCGAGTTATCTAGTACTTGGATTGGTGAAATAATCGATAAAATATAGCAGGTATTCGATAAAATAATCGAGGTGCATAAAAGTTAGCTCGAAAATCATAGTGAGGAAAAATAAGGAAATGGTAAAAAAAATCAGATTTTTTTAATTAATGGCTGACATAGAGGATAGATTCCAAAATTTGTAATTGGATTTAAATGATTGGATTTTCTATGTTTACAACATCAAATTTAGCATTTACCTATCTAGTTAGATCTAGATGATGCAAGTGAGGTGTGCTATTAGTGCGTTGTACCTTGTGATGAAAAGTTTGTACCTTGACTTGTCAAAATTGGAAAAAGTTGCCCATTGGCATCATATTCTTGATTTTTTTTTTCATTAGAATGTGGTTGAGGTTTTCTGTTGACTTGTACAAAGTTGGTGTTCTAGACTTGGTCTGGTTGATTCTTGACTTATCTTTTTGTGTGGGATGCCTCTTCTTTTAAAAAATTTACGAGACTTATTATACACTGATATTATAAAATTAATTTATTTTTACAAGGTTATTAAAGTAATAATAATAATAATAATAATAATATATTAAGTGTAATTTTATAAATAAAGTTCGAAGAAGATGGTGTGTATACAATCTTATCCCCGCCTCATGAAGGTAGAGATTGTTTTTGACTCAAGTAAAATATATCAACAAATAAAAAAAAAATATAAATCAAATACAGTAAAAAGAAAGTTATATTGAAACCAATGAGGAGTAAAGCAATAGTGTAATACTTACCATATAAATTTATTTGCAATCACTATTTTATAAAGTAATTTTACTCTATAAATACAATGCATCCATTAGGTGTATGTATTAGTAGTACCTTTTGTTTGGTACACTTTTTCATGCCATGTTATAATTAATGTTTGCATTAGTTATACACTCTATTGTGTATTAAGTTGTGTATTACTAATACCAAGGAATTCTAGGTATTAGTAATACATAGCATTTTAACACTTGCATTAGATTAAATAATGAGAAAATGGCCAAATGCCCCCCTAATCTATAGCCGGATTTCCAACTACACACTCATACTTCACGGGGGTCCTATCACCCCCCTGAATTGTTTAAAATTGGAATTATTACCTCCCTGAACGCTTACCTGGCAAAGTGAGTGTATCTCCCAAAAACCAGTATTAAATTTTTATTTTTATTTTCTTAAATATATGTATCTTTTTTCTTCTTTTTTTTCTTGATTTTTTTCTTCTTCATAGCAATTGGATTGAGCATCAATGGCAGCACCAAATTTCTTCACTATCTTGAAACCATCGCTATCACTACATTAATGATACACCACAAATCATTTATAGCAATTTCACTCATTACTCTCCACAATCAAGAATTATATATCAAAAATCTTT